TTCTCTACATCCTTGTCTGCACTTGCTATTTGCTGATTTTGATGTTAGCCATTCTGACAGGTGTGATATGATACCTCGTTGTTGCTTTTATTTGCATCTCTCAGATGCTTAGTGACTTTGAGCATGTTTTCAATGTGTCTATCAGCCTTCTGTATGTCCTCTTTCAAAGAGTGTCTACTTAGGTCGGTCCTTTGCCCATTTTTTGATTAATTCCATCTGATCTATGAGTTATTTAGGATTGATGTTTCTTTGCTTATTCTTTGTTAGAGGATTTATTTATTGGTGTCAATAGGGTATTAATGTCCCCTACTATGACTGCATTGCTTTCAATCTCTCCCTTGATATCTTCCACAAGTTGTTTTATGTATTTGGATGCTTCTGTATTGCCAATATGCTCAATTAATATTTGACAAAGGAGCCAAGAGCGTACAATGGAGTCAAGACAGTCTCTTCAATAAGTGGTGCTGGGAAATTTGGTCAAATACATGCAAAAAAATGATACTAGATCACCAATTTATATCATATTTATTGCATGCATATGTGTTTATCAGAATTACATCTTCTTGTAGAATTGCTCCCTTTACTATTATGAAGTGGCCTTCCTTATCTCTTGTTATGACCTTCACATTAAGGTCTAATTTGTCAAATATAAGTATTGCTAACCCAGCTTTTTTTTTTTTTTTTTTTTTTTTTTTTGATTCATTTGAAAAACCTTTTTCCATACCTTGATCATCAACCTGTTTGAGTCCTTTGCTCTGAGATAAGTCTTCTGTAGACAGCAGGTATATGGGTCATGTTTTCTTATTCATTCAGCTACCCTATGTCTTTTGATTGGGTATTTAATCCATTTACATTTAAAGTTATTATTTTTAAAAAATATATAATTTATTGATTTTGTACAGAGAGGAAGGGAGAGAGAGAGAGAGTTAGAAACATCAATGAGAGAGAGTCATCGATCAGCTGCCTCTTGCACACCCCCTACTGGGGATGTGCCCGAAACCAAGGTACATGCCCTTGACCGGAATCGAACCCAGGATCCTTCAGTACCCAAGCCGACGCTCTATCCATTGAGCCAAACTGGTTTCGACTTAAAGTTATTATTAATAGGTATTTGTATGTCACCTTTTTATTCTTCACCCCTGTGTTCCCTCTTTCCTTCCAATTTCTTCTTTTGACAAAAAACCCTTTAGCATTTCTTGCATTGCAGGATTGGTGGTAATAAAGTCCCTGAGTTCTTTTTTGTCTGTGAAGCTCCTGATTTCACCCTCAACTTTTTTTTTTTAATATATTTTATTGATATTTTTTTTTTACAGAGAGGAAGGGAGAGAGATAGAGAGCTAGGAACATCGATGAGAGAGAAGCATCGACCAGCTGCCTCTTGCACACCCCCTACTGGGGATATGCCCGCAACCAAGGTACATGCCCTTGACCGGAATCAAACCCGGGACCTTTCAGTCCCCAAGCCGACGTTCTATCCATTGAGCCAAACCGGTTTCAGCTCACCCTCAACTTTGATTGATAGCCTTGCTGGGTACAGTATTCTTGGATTCAGACCTTGCTTTGCATGACTTTGTACATTTATTCCATTCCCTTCTGGCCTGATATGTTTCTGTTGAGAAATTAGTTGATAGTCTGATGGGAGATCCCTTGTAGTTAACTTACTGTGTCTCTCAGCAGCCTTTAAGACTCTTAGTTTGTCTTTGATGTTTGCCAATTTCATTATATTTTGCCTTGGTGTCATTCTTTTTGGGTTCATCTTGTTTGGGACTCTGAGCTTCTTCGATTTGTGTGAGATTTTTCTTCCCTTTATTAGGGAAGTTTTCTGTCATTTTTTCAACCAGCTTTTCTTTTCCTTGCTCAGTTTCCTTTTTTTCTAACACCCCTCTTTTTCAGATGTTCATGCTATCCCAAAGTTCCCTTACACTCTGCTCCTATTTTTTAAGTTATTTTTCCAGTTGCTTCTCTGCTTGACTATTTTTTCATATCTTGTCTTTTAGCTCACTGATGTTGTCCTCCACTTCTAGTCTACTGTTGATGCTTCCTCTTGTGTTGTTTATTGCAGTAATTCATTCTTCATTTCTTCTTGGTTCTTCATTTCCTCTTGATTCTTATACATATTGTTGAATTTGTATTCCACCCTTTTCAGCATCCTTATGATCATTGCTCTGAATTATTTCTCTGACAAATTGCTTGCCTCTATTTCATTTACTTCCTTTTCTGGTGATTCCTTACTTCCTTTTGAATGGGGCTGTTTTTTTTTTGTGTGTGTTTTTTTTTTGTCTCCACATGTTCCATCCACTCAGGGTATCTGGTTATGTAGTTTTCTCTCTCCTGCATTGACTTAAAGGCACAAAATACAACACAACAAGATGCAACACACAGGCACCAAACACAAATAAATTTATGATACCAATAACCCAAAATAAAGGGGACCACCAGAGAAAAGAGAAGTAGGGAGGGAAAGAGTGCATAAAATGATATTGAGAAAAGGAAAAAAATGTAAGAGAGAAAAGGAAGAGAAGAAAAAGAAGGGGGAAATATGTCTATATATATAGAAAACTAAAAAACAAAACAAAATACCACACAACTAATCCAAAAACTGAAAACAACAAACACTCAAACAACAAAATCCCAGATGAATCTGAAGAGGCAGAGCTTAGTTCTCTCTCTAGGTAATCTCTGACCTTTCTGTCAATGAATTGCCTCACCAGCTTTGTCTAATTCTCCAATTTTGGGTGGGTGTTATTCAATGCAGCTGTTCCTTCCATCTGTTCTGTGAGAAGGTGCAAGACCCCTCCGTGTATTTGTCCTACACCTTGTCTCCCCTGGACAATCTTTCTAAGAGCCCTCAGCCAGGGAGGCTGCAGTCTCCATGTTTGTGGGCTCCCAGCTCTGGGCATTGTGGTTGTAGGGTCTCAGAAGGCATCTGAGATCTCCCAATTGAAGGTAAGGCTGGGCTTCTGGTCACAGCTCCTCTCCTCTTCAAGATGGTGTAGCCTCTGCTGCAAAGCCTACTGCTCTGGAGCGATTTCAGCAGCAAAAGAGACTGTCCAGCCAGGAGAGCCTGGTCCACCAGTCCCCACAGTCATGTGGAATATAGCTGTCCCTCACTCACACATACAGAAACTTCCCCCACATCTATGCACTTTCTTATTGCTCTCTCACTCACACACTATCTTGCAGCCTACCTTCCCATAACTGACATCTTAGATCTCAAAGATGTCTATGTTTTTAAAATGAATAAACTCTCACATGGCCCTGACATCATATCAGGGATGCTAGAGCATTAATTGAATGATGTGCCATTTAGGACACTGAGAACAGATAGGCTAAGTCAGTGGTGAGCCACATGCGGCTCTTTGGCCCCTTGAGTGTGGCTAATTAGGGTAATCTAATTAAGTTAATAATAACATACCTATCTATATAGTTTAATATTTAAAAATTTGGCTCTCAGAAGAAATTTCACTCATTGTGCTGTTGATATTTGGATCTGTTGACTATTCGTTTGCCAACCACTGGGCTAAAGTCATTGTCTCAAGGTCACAGAGCTGCTCAAGCAAAAGACCCAGACTGTGACCCCATGACCTCCAACCCCAAAGGTCACCTTCTAAGTCAGCAGGTTAAGCTGCTGATGAGATGCTGATAAATGGGGAAGGGGTGGAGAGGAAATGCCAGTGACTGTGTGTACATTATATTTGAGCTATTTTCATGTGAGAGCCAGACATTAGGACACTGGTCTATGTGATGGGTAGAGTTATGGGCACATTGGGATGATAAATGTCCCTGCCCCTCTTGAGAGAACCCGTGCCCCTTCGAGCGAGCAGATGAGCTTTCCCTCCACAGGCCCCTTCTTCTCCAGAGCACAACCCTGGCAGGTGGCTGTGGGGGTCACCTTTCTGGCTCTACTGGTGCTCCTGGTTGGGGCAGTGATCTCAAGGTGGCGACAGCATAAGAGAAACCAGGCCTTGAACCAAGAGAAGGAGAGGGAGCGAACTGGGAAAGAAGCAGCACTGGGGAAAGAGCAGCAAGAGCGAAGTGCAAAAGGTGAGGTCTGGCTGCAGGTGGGTGGGACCTCCCCGCCCAAGGCCACCCACCCACCCACAGGTTCCCCCTTCCATCCCCATGACAGCATCTTCTTTTTCTGCTTATTTCCAGAAAGGATACAGGACGAGCTCAGTAAGTCCCAATCCCCCAGCACAGGGGTTCTGAGGTCCCGGGTTACCTGCCTCACTGACCTCTCCCATTTCCCCTGCAGGGTGGAGGGAGAAGCAATACCTGGCATGTGAGTACCGGGACCCACATCTGAGACTCTCTGCTGGGACGTATCTAGCCCCTTCCTCACTCATGACTGTCCAGGGGAAGGAATGAGGATGCTGATGGGGGAGGTCGGGCAGGGTTCCCTCCCTGAAGAAAGGGGTCAGGCTCTTTCCACCAGGCCAATCACACTCAGATATCCAGGGAACCCCAGAAAGGAGAGGGAAGATGGACTCAGGATGGCAGGTCCTCCCTCCCTGGCTGCTCTACAGGATCTATAGGCTGCTGAGAGGAAACCAGGAGAGAGAACATTCTCTGCAAGAGGAGGGGCTGCTGTCAGTTGTCCCAGATTTATCATAACTGCTGAAAAGTGGTGTCTGAAATTCTGTCACTAATTCACCTAATTATTTTTGGGAATTGTCAGGAAATCATGTAGATTGAAGTGGATGGATTTCAGTACACACATGTATACACATATGTACACGGCAAGCCTAGCCAGGTACAGGAGGAAGACAGTCACTTAATATGGCAGGGGTGCCTGGTCCACGGATAGCACCACACTCTGTGTATAGTAGGCCTCTCCTTCTCCCTTAAAGAAAGGCTTCTCATTGCCACACCTCAATGGCCAGCATCACTGCAGTTGATGGTCATTACGAAGGAACAGAAGGGGACTTTCACACAAGCCCTGTGAAGCTGAGGCAGATCTGACCATACAGCCGGCTCCTCAGTGACTAAGTGGCTCATGGGAGGAAACAGAATGGACATGCTGGGCACAGGGATGGTTCTCAGGTTGGCATGTCAGAGATGGATGACACAGGATGTCATCATGCTACTCAGAATAATGTGCTATTTAAAACTTACAAATTGCTTATTTCTGGGATTTTCCATTTAATATTTTTCTACTGTGGATGATGACAGAGGGTAACTGCAACTTCAGGAATGGAAATGATGATTAAAGGTGACTGCTGTTCAGACCCATACAGGACAGACCTGCAGGTGCAGCTGGGACAGCCCCATCGGTGCCTGCGGGACATTGGGTGCAGGTGACCTTAAAGAGGAGAGGGAGCAGGGAACTGAACAGGCAGAGAAGGGAGGAGGGGTCAGCAGGAGAGAGAGGAGAGGACTCAGACATGACAGGTGAGGTGACAGCCTGTCTTCCTTTGCAGATGACAAGGCTCAGGCCTATGGAGGTGAGTGACTCATGCTCTCTGGTCCTGGCACCTGTGTACAAAGCCCTTCAACTCTTTCTGTGCTGCTGAGGGATAATCAGAGCCTGCTCAGAGCTCATGTTCGGGGGAGGACCGCCATGCCTTTCTGCACATCCAGAGGACCTTCCAGCTACAGCATCCCTTCACCTGCTGCCACACACCCACACCTGGGAAAGGCCTGGCCCCGTCACCCACAGCCCCACCATGATGGAGGGAAGCCCACATTCTGAGAGCTTTTATGCCTCATCCTCAGTGCTGTGGGGGAGGAAACTAGATATTGGTGGGAAGGAGAGGGAAGAGGCTCAGTGAGGAGAATGGTGTGGGGAGTACAGAATTGATTATCTTTCCTTGCCTGTGTCTCCTTCCTTTCAGAGTGGAAGATGGGCCTTTACCAACCTGGTGAGTGAATGATTGTGTTCCCTGGGCCAACACACAGGGGCCTGGCTCCCTTTTCATTCTCCAGCTCTTCCCTGGGGGACATCGCGGTGGGTGGCATTAAGTCCCTACATTGTGCCCATGTGCCTCCCAGAGAGCCAGGGCCAGCTGCTAACCCTGGGCTTCCCCAGGTCTGTGTGGGAAGGAGGAGGCATGAGGGGTACATTTGGGGCAGGGGCAAGAGGGAGATGAAGAACGTGATCTGGCCCAGCTGATGCCCCTCCTTCCCTGAGCCTCCTCAAGGTGTGCCATGTCTCTGAGTCCCTTTGAGATGATGGTGGTCATTCCTACTATGTGACGATGGCGGTAAGTCTAGATGAGGTGATGAGTGTGTGTTGGTCAAAAGTCTAAGAGGGAAGCCATGGCCTGTTCATAATGGGTGTGTGTCTGACAGTATGACCACAGTCAGGAGAAGGTTCTTAAGAAGTAAAACTGATGTAGGTGACTCCTTATTATTATAACAGACTGTTATGGAGTCATTTATTCACAGGCATGAGGGAGTGGACCAGACAGACTACATGCCAATCTGCACAGGCTTGTTATAGTACATTGTTTTACAGTACAACTCAGGTACTAATGATTGAGAGGACAAAGGGACAAGGAGTGTGGCAGCACCAGCCATCCCTCCTATGGTCTTGTGGTGGGTGGTTCTTTTTAAGGGATACCATCACGTTTGGTATTGACCTCCAATGTCATGTCATTCTAGTGTTACTAACAAAACTGTTTATGGCTGCATTTTATGGAACACACATCATCATCACCCTGAAGGCTTTGGTGTTACTGCTAAGGACAGTGAGTTTGGTCAAAGGTCACAGCATGAAAAGATAAACGAAGTCCCAGACACAGTGATGAAATTTGTTTGATTTAGCCACATCTACCCAGTGATTACAGAGGATACAGGGAAAAACCTACTTCCGGATGCTGGGGTGGTATTAAGGGAAACCACAAAGATGAGCAGTGCCCCAGGCTCACAACAGTGGGAGCTGTCACCACCCCCAGGCCCCAGGCAGAGGGATGGAGAGCAGTCACTGGACGCTGAGGAGGCTAGGGCTCAGGGAGAGGCTGCCTGAGAGGAGGTGTGCTCTGCTGGAGCATCTCCATCACAGGAAGTGGGGAAGTCGGGGCTGTGCCTCTCTTTCTCTCCCTCCAGTCCTCAGCCAGGACCTGCCCTTGGCCAAAGCCAACAGGTGACCAGAGGCAGTGAGCCTAGTGATGCTGCCCAAGGAGGACGGATTCCTGGGCAAAGAGGAGGGGCAGGTGGGGAGTGAAGGTCACCTAGAGCCCAGCATGGCCCCAGCACAGCAGAGACCTGGTCGCTATGATCACACCACATGCTACCTGGACGCTTGGCCTTGGGCTAAGTGAACCTCACATTCTGTGTTGCTGTACTCTAAAGATTAGTACTTTTACTACCATTTTACAGACATCACATTGAGACTTGTGACATTACATAGTGTGTGTGTGTGTGTGTGTGTGTGTGTGTGTGTGTGAAAAGAGACCGGGCAGAAAAGAAAATCATCCAGCTCAGGAGGGCAGAGCAGGGTCTGGAATTGGAATCCATGTGACTGTGCAGCACAGGTGGGCTCAGTCCTTCTGGGGAGGAAACGGAGGAAGATAGAAGGAAGGGGCCACTTGAGATGATGGGTTAGGCAGACCCCAACCCTCCTCACACTCCCCTCCTCACTGAACACCAGGCCCTGTGGTTTCTCTTCGTTTTGCTGAGGGTCACACTCAGGGCAGCAGGGACCCCCGGCTTTGGGCTTGGGTCTCACCAGCCAGACCCAAGCCTTGGAGCCTGAGGCTCTCAGGTCCGATAAACATGGCTGACTCCTCACCATTGAAACTCTCTGCAGCGGACGTGACTCTGGATCCCGACACTGCGCATCCCATCATCCACATTTCTGAGGACCAGCGAATCTTGCAGTACAAGACATGGCAGAGCCTGCCAGACAACCCCAGGAGATTTCAGTACTGGACCTGTGTGCTGGGCCGTGAGAGCTTTAAATCAGGCAGACACTTCTGGGAGGTGGAGGTGGGGGACAGGATACTCTGGCATTTAGGGGTGTGTAGGAATAACGTAGAGAGAAAAAAAGAGGTTAAAATAACACCCCAGAATGGATTCTGGACAATATCACGGTTAGGTGGGTCTGACTTCCATGCTCACACAGATTCCCTGAGCAAACTCAAAATTACCAACCCTCCTGAAAGAGTGGGGGTTTTCCTGGGCTATGAGAACGGGGAGGTCTCATTCTATGATGCCATCCATGGAATCCACATCTATACCTTCCCACAGACTACCTTCTCTGGGCCTCTCTTGCCTTTCTTCAGGATTTGGTCAGAGGAGCCCACTGCCTTGACCATTTGCCCAGCATAAGAAGGTGTGGGGAGTTCCCTTGTGTCTGACCCACTGCCTGGCCCTTCCCTGGAGACTCCAGAAGCCTCAGGCTCAGCTGATGGCAATGAGGACCCTCAGGCAGAACAAAGATCTTTGCTTCCCCATGCCCAGCCCTGAGCTGAGGGCCTGCTTAACAGAAAAACCTCACAGCAGGAACATATTTACTAAAAACTCACTGAGTGAAGCACTTCATTAATATTCTTTCAACTTTTCGACATGACAGATGAGGAGACCAGGGTGCAGGAAGTTAATTAACTTTCCAAGGTGACTCAGCTCCCTTCCTGCCACCATAGCTCTCACTCACAGATACCTTAGAATGTGTGGGTGCTGGGCTAAAGGCTTCAGGTGACTTTCACTCACCAATCCTCACAGCACCCTGTGAGGTGGCCGCATTGAACGTGTGGAAAGGGAGGCAGGGCCCAGGGAAGTGACATGTAATTCATGCAGGAAGCAGTGCTGCTGGGAGCTGTTTGACCTCAGACCCTCCCTCCACCTCCAGTCTGTTCCTTTGCAGCCAGTTGTTCCTGTTGGGCAGGGTCATGGGCAGCCTGAGGTTCCCTTTTCTGGGCCCCAGGGTAAAGGTCACTGTAAGTGACTATGAAGACCACACCCACCTTGTTCCTTCAAGGGGGACTGTCAGAGCCATGGCCACTGCTCCATTGGCTGGCTGGCCATGATGACGTCGTCCACAGAAGGAATTCACAGTGACCACACCACAGGGGCCTGAGAAGGGACCAGAGACCATACTCATCACCAGCTTGTGACCTGTTAACATGAAGCCCAACCAACCCCCAGCTTCATCCGTGAAGCTCACATGTGAGGCATGAATTGGGGAGGGAGCCAGGTGCACTGCAGTGGACTTTTTCTCACACTGTAGCCCCATCTCCAGGAAAGGGACACTCCACGCTGAGCCTGTGTTGATGTTCCTGGAGGTTCTTTAACTGTTGGGTCCTGGGGAAGAGCCACTCCATCACCATCACTGTGATTGGTCACCACTGTGTCCCCTCCACCAAGCAGGTGGTTGTCCGGTTGCATTTGTTAAATAAATTGGTGAATAATCTTCTCTCTGCAAATGAGCTTCCTCTAGATGTTCACCCCACAGTTTACCCACAACATCTTCACAAAATCCTTACTGTATTAGCTGTGTATGCTGCTGTAATAAAACCACAAACTTCATGGCCCAATGCAGGACAGATTCCTTTCTTCACATTTCTGTCGGTGAGAAGCCCAGTGTGGCCATGGCCGGGCTGACACCCAGGTGTCTGCAGGCTGGGGTTCTTTCTGGAGGGTCTAGGGAGCAGTCTGGTTCTTGCTAATTCTGGATGTTGGCAGAATTGAGTTTCCTGCAATGGAGGGACCGAGGGTGCCATTCCTTGCTGGGGGTCAGAAGAAGCTGGGAACCCTCCAGGCTGGGAGCATCCGGAGTTGTCCCAGGAGGCAGATGTGAGGGAACAAGTCAGGTGAAGGCAATGGCCAGGGGACCAGAGTCCAGTCCTGGAATAACTGCTGGTGGAACTGTTGCCTGTGTGCTGACTGCAGTGTCGAACTTAGAAGGAAATTAGCGGTCTCCAGAGAACGCATTGAGGCACAGGTGGGGAACGCTGTGAAATGTTCCATGGGAAAATTATTGTAGGAGAAATGCACACAATGATCCGATTGAGGTCTGTGGGCCCAGGAAGAGAGCATCGGGTGGGCGTAAGGGTGCTGGGCTCACCAGTCATCATCTGGCCTGCCATGGCCTGCAGGCACGAGTGCCACCTCTCAGGGAGAGGCTTCCTCCTCCCAGCCTCCTGTCTCACTCCCTGGTTTCAGAGGCACAGGCCTCCATGGCAGCTGCTGGCTCTGTTCTCTCCTCGCAGCCTTCCCTGAGTTCCCCACCTGCCAGCTGCTCACCAGCCCCCAGTCCCCCACCAGCCCAGCTACTCTGAAGAGATTCCTGGGCTGGGGGAAGGAGTGCTTACATTCATATCAGCCCCTGTCCACTTCCAACCACAACCACACACACGTGTACCTGAGCCTCTGTCTTCACAGCAGCGACGCACAGTCCGCAGGGCCTGGCAAGACTGAGGCACAAACTCCATTTTCTCCAAAGGAAAGGCCGGCTCTGGCTGAGCGGCAGCCCCTGAGCCAGGAGGTCACCCAGCCCCCCGTGCCCCCAGCCCCCCAGCCTCCAGCCTCCAGCCTCCCAGCCCCCAGGCCTCCATCCCCCCAGCCTCCATCCCCCAGCCCCCCAGGCTCCCCCCCTCCTAGCCTCCCAGCCCCCCAGCCCCTCAGCCCCCGCTCCCCACCCCTGCTGGGGGAAGAGGGGGAGTTTTCCTCCCCGCGGGTGGGATGGTTTGCTCCTGGTCGTGCCTGAGCCCATGAGCAGGTGACAGAGGGAACAGTCAGTCCCTCAGTTCGACAGGTGCCTGAGGGCTCCGCGAGGGAGCCCGTGTGGGGGCGGGTCCCGGAGAGGGGCTTCCAGGGGTCTCCGGGCCCACCTCAGGGCGCACAGCGGAGGGAGTGGGATAAGGGGGAGGGGGAGGAGAGGGAGGAAGAGGAGGGGAAGGAGGGGGAGGAGGGGGAGGGGGAGTAGGGTGGAGGGAGAAGGAAAGAGGGGGAGGAAGAGGGGAAAGGAGGGGGACAAGGAGAGGGAGGAGGGGAGAGGAGAAGGAGGAGAAGGGAGGGTGGAGGGGGAGGAGGAGGAGAAGGAAGAGAAGAAGGGGGACAGGGAGAGGGAGGAGGGGAGAGGAGAAGGAAGAGAAGGAGAGGGGAGGAGGGGAGGAGGGAGAAAGAGCCCCGGGGGAGAAGGAGACCAAAAGCTATCAGGTGACCCTGTGAAAACCGAGCTCAGGCTGAGAGTGAGCCAGCGGGGACGGAGGTTCACTGGCTCAGGCCATGGAACGTTCGGAGTCTGTCTGTGGGGAGGACCCTGAACCCTGAACCAGAGAGGAAGGGGTGCCCAGGACACAGGTGGGGGCTCTGATGGCACCAACACAAGCCACAGGACGTTTGCTGATGAGGACTGCGGTGCCAGGCCTCTGCCCACTCCCCAGGTCTGCGTCCCGACCTGCACCCCCGCCTCCCCAGTGACTGGTCCTGGGCGCCATGGAGTCTGCAGCTTCCCTGCGTGTCTCCCTGCCAGACCCCCTGCTCTTCTTCCCCCTCCTTGGCCTCCAAGGCCTGTCTGCACTGGTCTCAGGTAGGGACCGTCTCAGCTGGGGCCGTCTCAGGTGGGGCTGTCTCAGGTGGGGTTGTCTCAGATGGGTAATGTCTCAGGTGGGGCTGTCTCAGGTGGGGCCGTCTCAGGTGGGTGATGTCTCAACTGGGGCTGTCTCAGGTGGGGCTGTCTCAGGTGGATGCTGTCTCAGGTAGGGGCTGTCTCAGGTGGGGGCCGTCTCAGGTGGGGGCCGTCCAGGTGGGTGATGTCTCAGGTGGGGCTGTCTCAGGTGGAGGCTGTCTCAGGTGGGGCCGCCTCAGGTGGGGCTGTCTCAGATGGGTAATGTCTCAGGTGGAGCTGTCTCAGGTGGGGCCGTCTCAGGTGGGGCTGTCTCAGGTGGGTGATGTCTCAGGTGGGGCTGTCTCAGGTGGGGGCTGTCTCAGGTGGGGCCACTTCAGGTGGGTGATGTCTCAGGTGGGTGATGTCTCAGGTGGGGCTGTCCCTGATGGGGCCGTCTCAGGTGGGGCTGTCTCAGGTGGGGCAGTCTTAGGTGGAAACTGTCTCAGGTAGGGGCCGTCTCAGGTGGGTGATGTCTCAGGTGGACGCTGTCTCAGGTGGGGCTGTCTCAGGTGGGGCTGTCTCAGGTGGGTGATGTCTCAGGTGGGGCTGTCTCAGGTGGGGGCTGTCTCAGGTGGGGCCGCCTCAGGTGGGGCTGTCTCAGATGGGTAATGTCTCAGGTGGGGCTGTCCCTGATGGGGCCGTCTCAGGTGGGGCTGTCTCAGGTGGGGCAGTCTTAGGTGGAAACTGTCTCAGGTAGGGGCCGTCTCAGGTGGGTGATGTCTCAGGTGGACGCTGTCTCAGGTGGGGCTGTCTCAGGTGGGGCTGTCTCAGGTGGGGGCCGTCTCAGGTGGGCACTGGTCTCAGGTGGGGCTGTCTCAGGTGGGGCTGTCTCAGGTGTGGCTGTCTCAGGTGGACGCTGTCTCAGGTGGGGCTGTCTCAGGTGGACACTGGTCTCAGGTGGGTGATGTCTCAGGTGGGGCTGTCTCAGGTGGGGCCGTCTCAGGTGGGGCTGTCTCAGGTGGGGCTGTCTCAGGTGGACACTGGTCTCAGGTGGGTGATGTCTCAGGTGGGGCTGTCTCAGGTGGGGCCGTCTCAGGTGGGGCTGTCTCAGGTGGGGCTGTCTCAGGTGGCCACTGGTCTCAGGTGGGACTGTCTCAGGTGGGCACTGGTCTCAGGTGGGGCTGTCTCAGGTGGGGCTGTCTCAGGTGGACACTGGTCTCAGGTGGGGCGCTGCCACACTTCCCTCCATGTGTACTCACACCTTCGTGCACACCAGCATCCCCAGTTGAAAGGCACATAATCCCCAAGTAGCTAAAATATAATTCAAACTTTATCGGAGAGGAAAGGAGAGAGAGAGTGAGAGAGACATCAATGATGAGAGAGAATCGTTGATTGCCTGCCGGGCCCGGACACCCTGAGAGACGGATGGACAGACGCTCTAACACACATTTCTATGGAGAGAGGCTAAGGCACTACTTGGCTGTTGCCATCAAGTACCCTGCTCACCCGCCTCTTGGTTTTTATTGTCACAACAGCTGGAACTAAAATTCACCTCTCGGTTCGATCAGCCAGTGAGTATTCCTGAGGAAGCACCTGCTCCTACAAGGGTAGGTCTTTAAAGACTAAACAGAGAGGATCTGGCAAAAACCCCGGGCTCGGGCGTGTTTGGAAAAGTCACAGGAGGGCTGCCACCTTCGGCAAGGTCCCCTCAGAGGCCCCGGCCTTTCGGAGAACCCTCCTTACGGACCTTCCAACCAAGTCCCGTGCTTCCCCACAATTGGCTGCGCTGGCCGGGCCTCATTCCAATGTTCGTTGTTGTTAATCCTCACGGGAAGGTATTTTTCCATTGATTTTTAGGGAGAGAAGAAGAGGGAGGGAAAGACAGAGAGAAACGTCAACCATGTGAGAGAAACTCATTGATTGGTTGCCTCTTGCATGTGCCCCAATCAGGTCCGGGAAGGAGCCTGCCCTTGGTTGGAATTGAACCTGGGACCCTATAGGGCTGGTGGACGCTCTATCCACTGAGCAACACTGGCCAGGGCTATGTGCATTTCACACTGACAGCAGGTTTCAGTTGGGACTGGCTGGTGGCTACCCTGTTGGACAGTTCCAGTCCCAACCTCCCCCAGGCTGGACTGGACTGGGGGCCAGGACACCCCTAAGCACGGGGTCTGCAGGTGCTCCATGTGGGCCTCTATGTGTTCTGTTCACCAAGCGTTAGCCGCCTAATTAGGTACCCACTAGGTGTCTCTAGCTCCGACCAGCCACAGTGACGGCCCCAGACCCCTCAGCCCAGGAATAGCTGTCCCCGAGAAGAGCCACTTCCTTTTGTTACCGGGACACCCGGGTGGGCTGGGCCGCCTGTCACTGTGTCCAATCAGGAAGGCAGGTTGAGGTCTATAAGGCGTTCACTGAGAAGGCAAGCCCACCAAGCAGACAGGGCGCTTACAAGCATCAAGTGCTGTCTTCCAGCAGGTGCAGGGACAGGAGTGTAAAGGGAGAGGGACTGGGGCGCTGTGTGCAGGCCTGGGGGTCTCAGCCGCCCGCTATTGTCCTTAGTCCCCAGATGATAAGATGGTGCTGATCAGACGGTGCTTTGTCTCCTGGTGACCCTGAGTATGGGCTCTTCTCACTGGACTCAAAGCTGAGTCATTGCCCCAATCACTTGGCACAGGGCTTGGAAAGGAAACTTAAGAAAAACGTAGCCCCCTGTTCACATGTGAGAACCTTACCCCCTATGCACATAAGTACGTGTGTCCTTAGACTTAAAAGAATAGGATTCCTTTCCCGATTGATCCAGCTGCTCTCCCTACCAGGCTGTAGGTCCAGGGGCCGGGGCTCCCCCTGAGCCTGTGCCTCTGTCGGCAGCCCAGTTCACGGTCGTGGGGCCCGAGGAGCCCATCCTGGCCCTGGTGGGGGAGCGCGCCGTGCTCCGCTGCCGCCTGTCGCCGGAGAAGAGCGCCGAGGACATGGAAGTGCGGTGGTGCCGGGGCCGGCTCTCCCCGGCCGTGCTGGTGTACGTGGACGGGCGCGAGCGGCCGGAGGAGCAGATGGCTCAGTACCGCGGACGGACCACCTTTGTGAGAGAGGACATCGGCCAGGGGAGGGTGGCCCTCGTCATTCACAACGTCACAGCCCACGACGACGGCGCCTACCACTGCTACTTCCAGCGAGGCCGGTCCTACGACCAGGCCGCCGTGCGCCTGGTGGTGGCAGGTGCGTCCTGTCGCTCTTAAGAGCTGGACGTTGGACCCCCGGCAGCCCTGTCGGGGGTTTTTGTTTGTTTGTTTTGCTTTGTTTTGTTTTGTTCTTAATATATATATTTTAAAATATGTTTTATTGATGTCAGAGAGGAAGGGAGAGGGAGAGAAAGAAGCATCAATGATGAGGGAGAATCATAGATTGGCTGCCTCCTGCACACCTCCCATATGCAACCCGGGCCTGTGCCCTGACCGGGAATCAAATCATGGCCTCCTTCCTGGTCCATAGGTCGATGCTCAATCACTGAGCCACCGGTAGGACTTTGCCCTTCAACCTTGGAGGACGGCCCCCTCCTTCCCCAGGGCCCAACCAGTGGCTTTGCCCTGCTGAGCTGGGGGAATGGAGTCCTGAGAAGCACAGAGAACACAGGGGATTCTTGAGCAGAGAGAAGGTTTAATCCCTAACGCTTTTAAAAACCTTTATTGTTGAAAACGTTGCATATATCCCCTTTCCCCCATCGACCCCCTCCAGGCCCCCCCTCCCCACCCCAGGCCCCACCACCTACTGTCTGTGTCCATGGGCCATGCACATACGCATACAAGGTCCTTGGTTGATCACCTCCCACCCACCGCCCTTCCCCGCCCTCCCTCTGAGATGCCCTGTTCCGAGCTTCCTAAGCCCCACAGATGATGCTGATGCTCCTTAGCGATCTGAGAGTCTTTATCGAGAACACGCTTCAGAATCAGACTGTTGAGTCTTTATCTGTCCCAGGCCTGGGCTCCACGCCCCTCATCGAGATTCAGGACCACGAGGAGGGGGGCATCCGGCTGGAATGCACGTCGGAAGGCTGGTACCCCGAGCCGCATGCCGTGTGGAGGGACCCGTACGGCGAGGTCACGCCCGCCCTGGAGGAGGCTTACGCCCAGGACGCTGACGGCCTCTTCAGGGTCACCCTGGCCGTGATTGTCACGGACAGCTCCGTGAGGAACATGTCCTGCTCCGTCAACAACACGCTGCTGGGCCAGGAGAAGGACTCTGTGATCTTCATTCCAGGTTAGCTCCCTGCCCTCTGGGGGCCCCGCCGGAGGGCAGCGGGCAGCGTCCTCAGCAGACAGAGCGGAGCCCCAGCGAGGTGGGGGTGGGGAGGGGGCTGCAGTGGGGGGTAGGGGGTGGGGGGTGGGAGGAAGAGGGGGTGGGGGATGGGGGGCTGAGGGTAGGGATTGGGAGATGGGGGGGTGGGGGGTAGGGGGAGCTGGGGGTAAGAAATGGGGGGTGGGGAGGGGGCTGCAGTGGAGGGTAGGGGTGAGGAGTGGGGGATAGGGGGTAAGGGGGGAGGGGGGCTAGGGTAGGGGAGCTGGGTGGGGAGTTGGGAGGGGGCTACAGTAGGGGGTAGGGGGTGGGGGGTGGGGGGTCGGGCGGGGGCTGCAGAGGGAGGGTGTGGGCCCTGAAGAGCTGGGCAGCAGCCGAGCTGAGGCCTCTCCCCACATCACAAGGGGGACACCGGATACTCTCCAGACTCAGGTGTGGGAGTCTCTTTTCTGAGGGTAAATCTGACGTTCGTCCCTGTGGTGGTTCTCTCCCCGAAACAGCCCTGGCCGCACTCACTGGGACTTCTCTGGGCCCCCTTCCAGAACCCTTGATCCCCAGCTCGTCCCCCTTCCCCTGGATGGGGGCCCTGGCTGTGGTCCTGCCTGCTCTGCTCCTCTTCATCATCATCCTCAGCAGCATCTGTCTCGCCAGGAAAGTCCGCAGGAGAAAAGAAGCTCTAGCCCTGGAAAAAGATCTTAAAAATAAAGAGAAAGAAATGGCACGTAAGGACCTGGGGAAAGAACATGTGGGAAAAGAGAGGAAGAACATCTAACAAAAGTGAAGAAGTAGCTGAAACTGGTTTGGCTCAGTGGATAGAGTGTCAGTCTGTGTACTGAAGGGTCCCAGGTTCGATTCTGGTCAAGGGCATGTACCTTGGTTTCGGGCACATCAATTGGGGGAGGAGGGGAGGGTGTAAGAGGCAGCTGATTGATGTTTCTAACTCTCTATCCCTCTCTCTTCCTGTCTGTAAATCAATAAAATACATTTTTTTTTTAAGTGAAGGAATAAAAGGGCAGGTCACCTGGGGGACAGAGAACAAAGAGTTCTGTGTCAGGGCTCGGGACTGTGTCTCCTGTCACACACACACACAAATACACACACACACACACACACACACACACACACACAGCTCCCTTTTGCCTTACTCAGATGTTGCATCCACCCACCTGGCTGCAGAGAGCATCCTGTTGCTGAAAGAAAGCAAACCTCACTGAGCCAAGACAGTCCAGCCACCTGGTCCTACCTCCTTTCTGGGACCTGGCACTTCTGAGAGGTGGGGCAGGGGCGGGGAAAGGAGGAAGGGGGTCCGTAGAAAGATTTCAGGCCTTTGTTTATCATCGGCTTACGGGCACAGAACTGCTCGTGTTGAGGACGTTCCTGTGCTTCTGTTTGTTTTTTCAGAGCAACTTCAAGAAGAATTGCGTAAGTCCGGCATTTCCCGCGTGGCCCTGTGCGCCGTGAGCTTCCTGCTGGCCACGGTCACCGGTCACCGGTCACCAGGAAGCTCACTGTCTGTCCCCTTGCAGGATGGAGAAGAGGCCTCCTGCACGCAGGTGAGCACCGGCCATCCCTCACCTCCTGAGCCTTCCCCCACCAGCCAGCCAAAGGGACGTGTACGCCGAGGGGAACCCGGGGCCACAGGGCGTGGGGGCCTGGGCTGGGGTCAGTTCACTCACAGCATCCCACCCCCACCCAGGGAGGCATCCCAGCTCTTCCCACAGGGAACTCCGGGGCTGGGGTCAACTCTTTGCTTTCTTCCCACCCTTGTTGTTTAAAAAAAAAAAAATGTTTTTATTCATTTCACAGAGAGGAAGGGAGAGAGAGAGAGAGAGAGAGATAGAAACATCAACAGTGAGAGAGAATCTTGGACTGGCTGCTGCCTGCACACCCCCTCCCCCACTGGGGATCGAGCTCACAACCCGGGCATGTGCCCTGACCGGGAATCGAACTGGATCCTCCTGGTTCACGGGCGGACGCTGAACCCCTGAGCCCGCCTGACTGTGCACTGAGGAAACCACCCGTTCCTCCGTCTCGGTCAGTGTGCCTGCAGCTGCTTCGAAAACCAGTTCTGGGAGGGACTCGTGTGTCTCCGAGGGCTGGACCCGGTCCTCGGGGTGAACACTAACATCCGAGGAAATGGCCCTCCTGCCTCCAGCAGGAGCGGGAGGGGAGCCACTCTCCCACCCCGACTCTTTGGTGTCACTCACCCTGACCACGGAGGCCAGGCACGCAGAGCGGACTTCCCCAGAGGGGATGTTTCCGCGGTCGTGACTCTTCAAGCCTGTGATTAACGTGAGCGAGGACACTCCTGGCTGAGACAGTTATAACCGGGGGAGGTGCAGGCTGCGGGAGGGGGGGGGGAGCTGTGGGTGGGGCAGCCAGGGGGCTGCCAGGAGCTGCCGCAGGACATGTCTTCCTGCCCGAAAGTCCTGGTGCTGTACGCAGCCCACAGGGAGCCGGCCGGGGCAAGCATCCACCTGCCTCCCGGGTGAGCTCCTGTGTGATTCCGCACCTTCTGCTCAGAGGCATCAGAGGCCAGGTTTTAGGTGCTTGGCCTTTTCCTTATTGACTGACTGATTGATGGTTAATCCTCACCTGAGGATATTTTCCCACTGACCTGTAGGGAGTGTGAAAGGGAGAGAGGGAGAGGCACATAGATATGGGGGAGACACATCACTGGGGGCCTCCCCATACACGCCCCAACCAGGGCCTGGGGTCCAGCCTGAGCCAAGTACCCGCCCTTGACCAGGATAAACCCGGGACCCTTCAGTCCACAGGCCGAGCTCTGCCCACTGAGCCCAACCCCCCGCCAGGGCTGGACCTTCCCTTTTTAGGTGAATCTCAGAAGTGTCACCATTGGGCCGCCAAGACGGGGAGGGAGGGAGGCATTGTAGCACAATGGAGGTGGCGGGCTCAGACACGAAGGGGGGGGGGGGGTGCTCCTCCTGGGCCAGAGAGGCCCCTGGGCCCAGGCGTGAGGCACAGCTGGCTGGGAACCTCCTCCCCTGGCCAGGCAGCCTTCCGGGGCAGTGGCTTAGGGGCCTTGTCCTCCTGCTGCCCTTTGAGGGAGCCTGGGTCCGTCAGGAGGTCTAAGTGCCAGCGGGTGTCCGGGGAGAAGGCGGCCCTAAGGCTCCCAGGGGGCGGGCCGGGGTCTCTGCGGAGGAAGCCAATAGGAACGTTTCCTGCTAGAGAGTCTGGAGGTCATAGGTATTGAGGAGAAAAGGGGGGCGGGAACCCCAGGATGTGGGGAGGAGGACCCGCTCTGGCAGCTCTTGCACTGGGGCCCAGCTGTCCATCCGTGCAGGTGGGAGCAGGTTGAAGGTTCCCACCCCGGGGCCTGGGATGGGGCCTGGGATTGGGCCGGGATGGGGCCAGGATGGGGCCTGGGATGGGCCTGGATGGAGCCTGGGATGGGGCTGGGATTGGGCTGGGATGGGGCCGGGATGGGGCCTGGGATTGGGCCTGGATGGGGCCTGGGATGGGGCCTGGATGGGGCCTGGGATGGGGCCAGGATGGGGTCCTTAATGGGGATCCCACCGCAGCGAGGGCCGGGCCCCCCCGCTTCTGGGGCCTCGCAGGGACCCCGCGCCTAACCGGCGCTTCCTCCGCAGCCGACGTGGTGCTGGACCCGGACACGGCGCACCCGGAGCTGTTCCTGTCGGCGGACCGGCGCAGCGTGCGGCGGGGCCCGGGGCGGCAGCGCCTGCCCGACTCCCCCACCCGGTTCGACTGCCGGCCGTGCGTGCTGGGCGCGCCGCGCCTGGGCCCCGGGCGGCACTGCTGGGAGGTGGACGTGGGGGACGTGCGCGCCTGGTCCGTGGGCGTGTGCGCCGAGGCCGCGGCGCGGCGCGGAGCTGCGCCGCTGGCCCCGCAGCACGGCTTCTGGGCGCTCGAGAGCTTCGAGGGCCGCTGCCGGGCGCTGGCCTCGCCGGAGTGCGTGCTGCCCGTGCGGCAGCGCCTCCGCCGCGTGGCCGTGTTCCTGGACCACGAGGCCGGCGACGTGACCTTCTACGACGCGCGGGACCGCTCGCACCTCTACAGCTGCCCGCGCGCGCCCTTCGCGGGGCCGCTGCGGCCCTTCGTCCGGGTGGCCTCGGACGACGGTGCCCTGGCTGTCTGCCCCGCGTTCACGGGCTCGCGGGGCCTGCCGGTGCCGGAGGGCGGCCTGGTGCTCCACCGGCCGGGGACCCCGCGCAGCCAGGAGGTCCTGGGAGAGTAGGGGAGCCCCGGACGCCCCTCCCGCCAGCGCGGACGCCCCTCCCGCCAGCGCCCGCTCTGCTCACCCCGGAGAGAGAACCCCCTCTGAGGCCCTCACACCCTCGCAGCCCAGGCCCGGCGCCCCGGGAGGCTGCGGCTGCAGCAGCTGCTCCCTTGCACGGGGCAGGGGCCAGGTCAGCCCCACGCGGCTCCAGCCCAGGAGAGAGGCAGTTCTGGCCTGGAGTCAGGTGACGAGGGAGCATCGAGCCTGAGTGGACCAGACACCCCTGAGTGGTCACCAGACACCGCACCGCGGGCCGGAGTGAGGCCAGCAGGTGCTCCGGGAGCTGAGCTCTCACAGCCACCCTGGAGATCAGGGGTGAGGGAGAGGGACCGGGGGCTGCAGGGGCCCTGGCCCTGGCCCTCGTGTGGCTGAGCCCCCTCCAGAGGGCCCAGGGTCCCAGCACCTGCAGGCCAGCCCCGCCGGCCCGGGTTTGTAGCCTACACAGCGAAGCGCCCCGGCTGAAAGAATGGAAAAGAGGACAGAGGGTGAAAGACGAGGCTCCCCGGGGACTGGGCCTGGCTCAGGTGTCCCGGGCAGGGGCACTTATCCCTGAGAGTGACCGGAGGCTTAAGGCCCCGGCTGCACAGGTGAGCAGTGATCGGGTTCCTCGCGAGGCCCGGGTTCCGGGGCCAGGCCGCTGGTCTCTGACTCCGTGGTCTCAGGATGTCTTTATTCACGGAATGTTATCAAGGCCCCAGAGGGCTTCTGCTCGCTTCTGCTTATTATACAACTGCGAGTATTTATTATATTGGACTGAAACGCTTCAAAGATACATTTGTCCATTGTATTTATCTGACAGTATAAACAGGTTATGGCTAACATCTTGCGCAGTCATTTTTGCGCAAGATGACTTGTTTGCCGAGCAAAATAAACGCTAGTAATGTGTGTGGCATTGTGCACTGTGTTTTGCAAACCTGATGTCTGGCTTTAAGAGACTGGATCCCCACATCTACACACGTGAGAAGGTGCGCAATCTTGGGCAGATCCCAATGAAATACTTGCCACTAATTGTTTCCAAAAGATACCCTGGCAGGAAAGGCTGTCCTCAGTGGGTGAGCCCGGCCTCAGGTCAAATAAAGACCGAGGTTGGAAGGGAGGCTTCCTGGGAGCAACAAACGAGGAGAGTGGGAGCCGCTCCCTGCAGTTCATGCACTGGAGCCATTAAATCTACTGGGAAGGGGGTTTTCAAGGAGAAGAGCCCGGAAAAGGAAATTATAACAAAATGAATTCCCCACGCCGAAAATGAAACCACACAGTGCTTAGCTGGACTTCCGTGTGTTTTTGTTGTTTGTTTGTTTTTAATATATTTTTATGGATTTCAGAGAGGGAGAGGGAGGTAGAAACACCAATGAGGAGAATCATTGATCGGCTACCTCCTGGGTGCCCCACAAGAGGAAAGCAAGGTGAATGAATTCCTGCTCACCCCTAAAAGTCCCTAAGGTTTGTAGTCCCCCATTTTCCTAGAACCTCGTGAATGTAGCCCTGCCTGGAGGGCTCACCCCACCAGGTGGCAGGAAGGGGCTGCAGAAGGGTAGGTTCTGGGGGGAATTCAGGTGCGTCAGACTCCTTGGACCCTCCCTGCAAGCTCACTCTAACCTCACTTCCCTGACTCCTCTGAGGTTCTATCTCCCTTTCACTTTATTCTGGGAATTCTCCATTGCAGCGGCATTCCCACTCAGCCTGGCCCCAGGGTCTTTTCACTCTCCCACCCCCAAGAGTCCCTCTTCCACACAGAAACCCGTCACCATGCCACCCAGGCCTCCTCACTGCCCTGCCGGCACTTCACCTACACAGACTCCAAGGGGCACAGTGCAGATACATTCAGCACTGGCTTGGTCAATCAGCACTGAGGTCATTGCTACCACCATGCCAACCCATCCGTGGGTCCGATCTGATTATTACCAGCGTGCCAGCAGTGTGTGCCCCGGGAAGAGCACCAGACCCAATGCTCAGTAACGAGCCACAGAACACAGTGCCCTCCATGATGCCTTCATCCAGTCCTTGTCTTAGCTTGGTGAGGTACATGCAAAGAAGACAAGCCCAAAACCATGAGCCAGACCCTTCTTTAGGGCATCCCCACAATTCGTGGAAACCCAGCAGCTGGGAGAGGGAGACAACACTACCACCTTAAGGCCTGGCAGGGTGTTGTGGGCTGAGACAGTCACATCTCCACCCAAATTCCTCTGGTTGGTGTGTAGGCCGTTGGAAAAAATAGAGGAGAGGAAGGAAACGGGAGAACACTTGATCCTACAGCATTTTCTTGCCCTGATCAAGGTGCCTGAACTTGGTGCTGGGGTCACTAGGGAGATGTGTAGGCATTTAAAAATACATATGTTTTATTGATTTCAGAGAGAGGAAGGGAGATGGAGAGGACAGAAACATCAATTATGAGAGCCATTGATCCCAGCTGCTTCCTGCATGCCCCACACTGGGGATTGAGCCCACCACCTGAGCATGTGCCCTGACCAGAGAATCAAACCCTAGCTCCTGGTTCATAGGTCAATGGTCAACCACTGAGCCATACCAGCTGGGCATATGTAGGGATTTTTAAGCAAAATGTGAAATAATCTGATTTGCATTTGGAAAGTCATTCTCTTAGCAGTCTGGTGGGTCAATTATTTTTTGGTCTTCATCATAGTCCCAATTAGAAGTCCAGGACTAAACTGTGGTAATTTTTGCCACAAATATAATCCAGAGCTGACATCTGAGGAAACAAATGAGTGATTGGCCTGAAGAGCTCACTTCTGCAAAATACTGAGTGGATAATATGAGAAGTGACTAGCCTCACTATTATATAAATGCATGGTAAACCTGGCCAGCATGGCTCAGTGGTTGAGTGTCAACCTATGAACCAGGAGGTCACGGCTCAATTCCCCTATCAGGGTACATGCCAGGGTTGCAAGCTCCGTCCCCAGTGTGGGGCATGCAGGAGGCAGCCCATCCATGGTTCTCTCTCATCATTGATGTTTCTCTCTGTGTGTCCCTCTCCCTTCCTCTCTGAAAGCAATAAAAATAAAAAATAAATAAATTAGATCGAAGCTTGATCCACTTCTGCGGTGCAGGCAGGGTTAGGTGAGGAGGAGGAGGATGCGTTGACGGAGAGAGAGGTTCAGCATTCCAGGAAGGAACTTGGGCAGCCTGTTCATGCCCTTGGACCCAATGACTACATTTCTTGGAATTTATCTGAAAGCGTATCAGGAAGTCACCGAAGATAAGGACAAAGCCTCTGTGTAATGTGTACTGGGTATAGTAGGCAAAAAAAAAAAAAAAAAAAAAAAAAAAAAAACAAGATGCCCACAATCTTGGGAACTGTTAGAACCTATAATATGGTATCACATAACTGTTAATCAAATTATAATAATTCAAATTATGCAAAAACCTCATCAGTTCTGTTTTTTGATGCACATGCACATGTAAACATGGGAGGAAAGACGCTAACATGTGAGTGGAGGTTGTCATTAGTTGCTGACATTATGGGTGGTTTCTGCTTTTTTAAAAATGTTTTCCCATATTTTTTTATTTTTTCCCATACAAGAGGTTCATCCTCAAATAGGAATTGCAGGCCACATGAGGTGCTCCCAGGGAGGCCACACACAGGAATGGACAGCCTACCTTGAATTCTTAGCCCACATAAATAATAAAAAAAATAAAATTCACCCACCTTTAAGTTCCTACTGTATGCTTTGTGCTCTACATGCTTAACCTCGTTTAATCCTCTGATACCTCTCTGGATGAGGTTATTAACAATACTACAGGCCCAGTGCACAAAATTCATGCACGGCATGGGTGGATGCATGTGTGTGTGTGTGGAATTCATGCATGGGGGGGAAGAAGAGGGGCTCCCTCAGCCTGGCCTGCATCCTCTTCAATCTGGGACCCCTCAGGGGATGTCCTACTGCCAGCAGTCCGACATCCCTCTCGCAATCCAGGACTGCTGGCTCCTAACCATTCGCCTGCCTGCCTGATTGCCCCTAACCCCTCTGCCTGCCTGCCTGATGTCCCTAACTGCTCTACCCTGCTGGCCTGATCACTCCTAATCGCTGTCCCCTGCTGGCATGATCAGCCCTAACTGCTCTCCCCTGCCGGCCTGATTATCCCTAACCACCTCTGCCTGCCAGCCTGATCGCCCTTAACTGCCTCTGCCTCAGCCCCACCACCATGGCTTTAAAGGAGGTCCAGAAGACATCTGGTCTACCCAGTCTAATTAGCATATTACCCTTTTATTAGTATAGATTCCCATTTTAGAGAGAAAAGAACGGAGGCTTCCCGTCTCATCCCAGCGTTTTCTTGCCCCCTCCTGTTCACTCCACCGAGGACTTCAGCATCAGCGCAGACCCTGTTCTCTGAGCAGCAGACCTTCCCATTGTCCCTGGAAAACTTTCCAAACTAAACACATCAGGAATGGGAGGGGGAGGGCGCTCCTGAGGGCACTGCCCCTTCCTCCTCTGTGGCTTTAACTCGACCCCGGGGCATGCCCAGCCTCCTCACTCGGGGTAGAGCCTGGCAGGTGCCCTTTCCTCCAAGGAGCCAGGTCAGTGCCCAGGATCTAAGATCCAGGAGGCATGTCCTCTCCCCTCTGCAATGCCCACCCTCAGCTCTCAGCGCCCTCCCTGTCCTTCTCCCACCTCTCCTCTTGTCCCCCTTCATTCCCAGCACCCCTCTGTTGGGTTATCTCTGTCATTATTGCTGGAAGCAAATGCCAAAGAGGGTTTTGCAGAACAATGGTTCCAAGATTCACCCCTTCATGGGCACAATGTCTCCTAGCACCAGTCTCCTGTCTCCTTGGGGTTGGGAGGCCCATTGGGTTCTTATAAATGGGCTTGGTCGAACTTAGGGTGATGGGTGGGCAGGCCCATGACTGGCTGGGGGGGCAGGGGGGGGTTGTGCAAGGCCTAGTGCCCTCCGAGGGGGAAAGAACTTCGCTTTGTCTTCCAGGCCGAAGCTCCCACAGACTGCGG